ATTACCTAAATGTATTCTCCAACCTCTCATTATAACTGTGACTACTAAGAGCCTTCCTAATACCTATCTTCCCCTTCTCTGCTAAAGACACATTCAGAGTAGTCACATGTACAGCTAAAACAGTGTATGTACCAGCTCCATTTGCAACAAAAAGTAATGTTGGCTATACAGAAAATATTGGGTGGAGCTTCCAGGGAATCTTCGTGAGGGGCGCTGTAGCAGTTGCTTGCATGCCATTTTGTCACTGCATTTTTTACCATTCTTGCTGCATAGAACACACATATGATGGCTGGGCTCCAATCATCATCCTAAACCATTGGAAACCCTTGATAATAAAAATATATTGCCAGGACAGTAGAATAAAACTACATAAAGAGACTACATTCCCAAGGTACCACAATTCCAGCCCCACAATGCCAATGTCCAGAGTTCCTTTCTGCAGGAGAAAACTTCAAGTCCACCTTGTTTATATCAATGAAATTCTGTTGCATATATCCACTGAGCTTCAATTGCTCACAAAACTGTGACAGCAACAACTCATTTTTGTGTGGAACTCAGGACTTCTTCTGTATTTGGTAAATGCAGAATAGGTAATTTGAGGGGAAAGAAAAGTACCTTGCTCTAGAAAACTTGAAAAGCTGGGTTAAAGTACAGATGAAAAAATGAAAAAATTTTGTGGTTTTGCTTCCACGTAGGTCAAAAGCCACAACAATATTGCTCTTTTCCAAATGATGAGAAAAAGCCAGATAATCTACAAAATTATAACTTTTTTTGAATCCTTCAGGGAGCTCAGTTTGCAAGGCAAAGCGATTAACTAAATTTCAAAAGGTAGCAGCCACTCTGAGGAGAGAGAGGACATATAAGCCAAGTCACCTTTGACAAAACATGAGAGGAATAGGTGCTCATTATGAAAGTGGGTAAGAAGAAAATAGCTAAAATTATAGCAAATACTTAAAGGCCAGAATGGGTCAACATAACAGTACAGACACCCTGGGATCCCACAGACACAAAAGAATATGCACTCATTCTCTTCTTTTTAACTGGCTGCTCAGCAGAAAGACTGAGGTCAGGGCAGGAGACCAGAAAGAGCCCTTTTGTGTCACAAAGGCACAAAATCTTTTCTGATTCCCAAGACCCTTCTCTAATACAAAGCAAAACAGTCTTTTAAGACAGAAAACCTTCATACCACCCAGGGCCCTGGAAAAGATACATAGTTTCCAGGAAAGAGGTAGAACCAGAAGTCATCTGGTCCTGCTGGAGGGACAAGGAACACTCTTTTGCCCAGAAACTTACACGGATACAGAGATCTGCTACCCCCGAGTCAAGGAAGAGTTTGGGTGCCATGAGACGATGCGCAGGAATGCTGAAAGAGCCACGCGCCTAAGGCCCAGGTGCACAGGACACGTCTAAGATTAAGAGTGGAGCAAAGGAACCCAGGACCCTCCTGCCCCCACCAGGAGCCCTGCACCAAGTAACAAGTGACAGAACTCTGCTTCAGGTACAAGACGTGACTGGAGGCTTCCTCTGTTAGGCAAGTGCAGGCCATGCTAAAGGGGAGGGTAGAGAACACACAGAAAATCCTCTGGCACTCTAGGACCCCCGCTAAGCACATGGAAGCAGCTTTGCTGCTGGAATTTGATGTCCGGGAAAAATCTATCTAAATCATCAGATTTGCAAAGGAAAAAGGAAAAACTGTTTGATATCAATAGATAGGAAAGAGTTGATAAAATTAAAAACCCAGTTTTGAAAAATCCCAGCAAAATCAGAAAAGCATTATTTCTCAGTCTAATATCTGATGTCTGCAAAAAAAAAATCACAGTAAACATCATTCTTAATAGTAAAATTGTGAAAGTGTTACATTTGATTTGGGAATAGGAGCAAAATTTCCAGTCTTCCCACTTTCATACAGCATCGTTCTGGACATTATAGCCAATTCAGTAAGATGAACAAGAAATAAAAATATGAAGTTTTAAGATTATTAAATATTTGATCACAGATAACATAGTTCTTTATACAGAAAATCCAAAAGGATCTACAAAATAGTAATAAATTAAGTGAATTTAGAATCTGTTGTATACAAGTTCAATTAAAAAATGCATTTCATAAAAGGAACAAAAAGAAAAAAGTTTTTAAAAACATATAATATATAATAATATTAAACTGGTTGAAACTTCTAGGACAAATTAACCACAATGTACCTCTGTATAGAAAACCATAAAATATGACTGAAATTAATTAAAAAGATCTAAATACATGAAGCATATACTATGTTCATAGATTTGAAGTAAATTTTGTAATTATGCCAATTCATTAAAAATATACTTGACAATAGATGGAATTCAATCCCATCTAAAATCCAACAATTTTTTGTCAAACTTGACAAACTAATTGTAAAATTAATATGAAATACAGCAGATTCCTTAAATAAAGTATTGTAGAACTCACTTTTATAGATACCAAGAATAATTAAAAGGTGACCATAGCTACAATAGTACTATAAGTAGCAAGAAGAGACTAACAGGCAAATTAAATAGAACAGGTGGCCCCCCAAACACAGACATATAAGGACATTTGATTTATGATAAAGATGGCGTAGAAGGGCAGTGGGCAGAGGAGAGAATGTTCAGGATGGTTCTGTAAAAATTGGATATATAATTGGAGGGAAAATAGGACTTCTACCTCAAACCAGTCACAAAAATCAATTGTAAGTAGAATAATCTAAATGTAAAGAGGTAAAAATATTATTAAAATTAAAGTTAGAAACTTTTTCTTATCAAAAACTCCATTAAGAAATTGAAAACATGAGTCATAGTGGGGATGGGGGAAGGTATTTGCAACATTTAATTGAAAGAAGCTCTTAACCCAAATATAACTAACTTCTGTAAATTAACAACAATTTAAAAATTCAACACAAAAGAAAAATAGACAAGACACTTACACAGGCAGTTTACAGACAATTATATCCATATGGCAATTAAATCACATAACCACAGTATTCAACAGGGCAATGTAAACTATACTCTCTTCAGAATGACTAAAATTAAAAGGATTGACTAAACCAAGTATTAGTTGAGGATGAAACAATGGGAACTGTCATATACTACTGACCAGAATATAATTAGTATGACTACTTTGGAAAACTGGCAGTATCTACTAAAATGGAACATTTGCATACAATATAACTGAGCAATATCATTGCTATGTATATATCGAACAGAAATACATGTACATGTGTGGCAAGAAACATTTAAAAGAATGTTCACAGCAGCATTTTTCACAATTGCCCAAACCTAGAATGAGCCTGAATGTCCATCAACAATACAGTGCATAAATACTCCGGTAATAATAAATAATAATAATAAGAACTTTTCAACCGTCCCTTTTATTCCCCCATAAAACACACAAACACACTTCCAACCTAGGTATGCAGCCAACACACAATAGGATATATATGTATGCTGATTTTATATACCATATATATAATATATATGTATTTTATGTTTTTATATATCATATATATGTACATACTGATTACTGAAATGGTTTGTTTCTTCACTAAAGCTCAAAGAAGTAAAGGTGTCTACTAAAAGCATTTGCTCTGTTTATAAAGAAAGCTGAAGTTGAGTTTATTTTTGAGAATGTCAACAAAATTTACTGAATGCCTTTTTTGTATACTTCATATGACTTGATTACGAAGTGATGATGTTTACGAATAGACATACTTGAGTTGAAATATCAATTTACAATGTACCTGGAGGTGTGCTATACTTTACATGGGCTAACTCACCACAAATGAGGTAGTTCCTAATCTTATTTCCATTTTAAACAAGTATTGAGTAATTTGTTCAGTCACACAGCTATTAAGTGATAAATCCATGATTTAAAGTCAAGTAGTCTGAATCTAGCGTCTAATATCCTAAACCACTGCAATAGGCCACTTTCTTTTGATGTAGGTAATACCAAAAGACAATAATATATAAGCACCAATGCTGCTATCCTTCTTTCTACATTTCTTTTGGAAATTCTATGTTAGAATTGTCCTCCTAATCATCTCACTTCATCATACAAGGAATTTAAGCATGCGGAGGCTAGGGCATATTCTATGATTCTGTGATCACTTCTAATGCTTAAACAGTAATATGATAACATTTAAGTATTTTTTTAATGAATGAAAGAAAATTCTTAGAGAACTTCAAAACTCTAGTTCTAAACACTTTTTATCAAAGAGTACTTAAGGTGATTTATAAGCTTTCTTTCAGAATTTACATTTTCACTTCTTTCTTCCTAGTTCAAAGTAGCTCAACTGAAGAATGGGAAAACATCACTTGAAATGAAAGCAATGACATGATAGATACACAGGAAAAAAAGTAAAATTTTTCTGGATAATGTTTAAGCAAAACAAAAATTCAAAGAAATAATCAGACCATGTTTGAAATAAAAGTTATTTAACTTTTTCTAAGTCTAATGTTCAAAATCCAGATTCACCACGTTGAATAGATACTGAGAAAGGTATTCAAACTTCTTAGGTCTCAGATTTGTTGTTTATGAACTGGGAATAAAAATAATGAACTTAAAATATTTGAGGGAGAATTAAAGGCAATACATGTAAATCACCTGATACACAGCAAATCTTAATACCTAATTCAATATTTTTTAAAAATTTCCATATCAAAACTGGCTAATAACACTAATGTTTTCTTCTCTCTTCTCAACTTATGACTGAGAGGGAAAAAAATCTTGCTTAAATAATAAATGAGAAGTATATTGTGTAACTTATATACATAAAACAACAGTAAAATCTGTCATTAGATATCTTAAAATTATACAACTTAATTCAGCATAGCAAATAGCTCATAAGTTTTTATCTTTCACATACATTTTGCCTCAATATTCACAAATATCAAGAACTGTAAATAGAAATGTGTTCTTTCATGACTGTCTGCCAAATTCATTCAGCATGACTGAAACTGAGTAGAAAAATAAAAATACATATTACTTACTGTATGTGGCGCTTGGCAATTTCAAAATAATTTGCAAACATTCATCCTCAAAATACTCCTACAAAATACATCTGTGACAAGAAAAAATCCAAGAGTAGGCAATTTGCCAAGGTGACAGAAAAACTAATCCAGACCAACGTACACTTAGACACTACATTCTTTAATATATCGAAACAAGGTTTTACCAAATATAGATTATACATCTAGCAAAGTATAATGGGCTGATGGATAGAAAAACTCCCACTACATGCAGATGTTCTACACAGCAGCCAAAGAGGACACCCGTAAGTAAGGGGTAAGAAGAGTCTGTACATTGGCTTCAGAAGTATATGAAAGAAACATAGTGCCCCCAGAGTAAGGCAGAACAGCATAAAAGCAATTCCAAAATATCTGATATCTTTAAGAAAATGTAACTGGAGATTTGAGGTGATTATTAAAATAGTCCATGTTTTTAAAATGTACTCTTGTCTAAAATGTGAAGATTCGTAAGTTAGAACAGAATTTTGCTTGATTTATCCAGAGAACTACATCAAGTCACTTTGTCATTGCCTTTCAAATCTAACTGAAAACCACACACTGAGAAAAACACTGGCACCACCTGCACACCTCATAGAAATACACAGACAGCCATTTCTTTTTTTTTCAGAAAGATATTATATGGGGGAAGTTTTTATAATCAGATTTTATTAATTCATTCATTTTAGAGGAGAGGTGTGGGGAACAGCACGTTAATTTCAAAGCCCAAATATTTCAACTTAGAATGGATTTTATGTATACTGTTTTATAAAAGAACTGTGCAAAAAAAACCATAACACAACCTAATGATAATTAGCCCTTTAAACTACAATGTGTTGTTTCACACAGATCAAACACTCTATGGACAATATAAATAAAAATTTCCCAAAGTTGCAAGCATCTTTAGAGGAACATGAATTTGAAGTGACCAACAGAATTTCTGCCCAGAGAGATCTAGTTGGCCACAGTGCTCAGCAGAAATACCAGTTTCCAAATAAGGGAGGGGTGCTTTTGTGTTCACCAAAACCAGCTGTAACCAAATTAATGGTTCAACAAGCAGAACAGGCATTCTAAGTTGAAAGTCTAATTTATCCTCCCGTAGTGAAAGACAGCAGGACAGCACTGGCCTCTATTTGGCACGGGAATGATTTTACTACGGCTCAACACACAGCCTTTCAAACAAGAGTAAGTTAGATACAGTTAGCAAGTGTATCGTTAAATGTCCAAGTAAAATCAAGAAATTCTTAAGAAGCTATGTATTTTTATAAATTTCATTCATCTAGTTTTAAAACTTGGAGCTTAACAGAGATACAAATTTACATTCACATATAATTTAAATAGAATTATAAAACTAAAACAATTAGCAGACCTATATATTTCTTCATACGTTAGCATATTCACCCTTACAGGCAGGAGAACTGAAGTTAACACTAATCATGTAATTTGCCCAATTTGACACACCTAATAAAAAGTGATCTTGGCCTCAGAACCAGACTTTCCGACCTGGACTTCTCACTATCGCACCTCTTAGGCCCTACATTGCATCTAGAGTAGAGTTTGCAAACTAGGACTTAACAACCAAATCTGGTTTACTGACATGTGTTGTCTATCCCACACCATGGTTTTATAAATGCTTTTAAATATTCACAAGCAGGAAATTTCACATTAGAATCCCCATTTCTAGCTTTTTTGAAAGAGCAAAGATTTTGTAAGGCTGAGCTCACAGCCTCCAGAGAACAAAGAAACGGTTACCCCCTTTGGAGAGGACAGATTTTTGGACTCACCTATTCCCTACTTTTGCAAGCTGTCTGCTACTCTGGCATTTTCAAGTACTGGAATGTTTTGTTCCTTGATCCTTACCTATCAACTACAATCAGACCTCTTTGCTGTGGAACCAGAAGATGGACTTCACTTCATTACACTCAAGAAGTGTATTTCATCAGTTGCAGCAACTGATTTTAACTACATGACACTGGATTCTTATAATCAGGTGTTATTGATTAGTTACCTTATTTTATTAAATATAAATATGTTATTTTATATATATATGTTTTACCATTCCATAGGCTTAAATTTCCATGTGTTTAAATATATATTTGATAATTTTTAAAGCTAAGAAAGAAATTTATGAACACAGTTAGTACATATCAAGGGAATTAACAGTCTCAAATATTGACTTTACATTTGCCGTGGACATATCTTTCACAGAGACAGTTCCTGAACTGACTGGTATACCATTTGGTAATTATAATGATAGAAAAAAAAAGCCCTTCAATTTAACTAAACTGGATTAAGAAAACATGGACCACTGAAGGTTAAGCTATGCAATCTACAAATTCTCTTTACATCATGGCATATAGCAAATAACTTCAAATATCAGTATTTTTTGTAGAATGCTTAAAAAATATGGACCTGGAATTCTGGGTAGTTGTAATAGCAGCCACCTAAAACTGAAAGAGTTCACACATCCTGCAAAAAATACACAGCCAACAAAAGCAAATAAAAACACACAAATCCTAGGCCTTCAGCATAACTAGAAGTTGGAGAATAATAAAAATGTCAAATTACCTGTAAACAGAAAATTAAATACCAATTTCTAACAGAGCTATTTTTCAAGGTTCTACTATATGTATTACAGAGATCTAAGGGGTCCAGGAAAACTGAGAAGAAAGGGAAATCAAAGGTCCTAAGTGTGACACAAAACTCATTCTCACAAGTGCACTGGAACTCTGAAAATGTTGAAAAACTACCTTAGTAAATTAGAACACAGATGCAGTGAGGAGACTTAAAAGTGTCTGGAATTCAGTGACCTTTTTTTTGGGGAGGAATAAGGCCTTTAAAAATGATGGGGATACATTAAAGGACACAGACTCCAGCCTCAAGAAGCTATAGGACCAGTCAGATTGGAGACAACTGGAACATCACACTAAGTAATTATCATAGAGAATTAAACTTCATTACATAAAATGAAAAATAAAGAAATGAACACAGTTTATTAAGCACGAAGGGAAAGCTCTTCTTTGTATAGAATGCCACCTAATAAATATAGGGGGATTGATAGAGTTGGAAATTAGCATTATGCAAACATTATAGTGAACTGAGTCAGTCAAGAACATATCTGTGGATCAACTCTTGTGGGTGAAAGCATGATGATGAACAAGATACTTCCAGAGTCTTAGAAGATCTTCTTACAGATCACTTTTTAATTACAATGGGGAAAATAATAACAGGCCACCATAAATAAATGATCAAAGACAACATCATCAATAATGGGACAAATGCCCATGCTATGCTTCCAAGTGTGATGTACAGGCTGACACATCACTTCTGTGGCATATCTGCCAAGAATGCATAACCTGCATCATTAGGAAATAGGCAAACCCACGCTCAGGAAAGTCTGAATGTTATCTGGCCTGAACTCTTCAAATTCAAAGTCATTAAAGACTGAGGAAATGTTCCAGATTAAAGGAAGTTTAAAAGACATGACACCCAGATGGGTGTGTGATCCTAGATGCACTGAGTTACATAATAGCATTTTGTTAATAATGAGCTTCTGCAGTTTCAAGAGTGTGTGCTGACTCTTGGGAAATATGCCTGCAACTTACTCTCAAATGATTCAGGGGAAAAAGTATATATATATATGTAAATATACACACCACACACACACACACACACATATATATACAGGTAATATAATTACACCATATATCTGTGTATATATATATATATACACAGATATATGGATAGGTAGCTTGCAGAAAAAATAAAGCAAAAGGAAGAAAATATAAACAACTAATGGATCTGATCTGGACAGAGAGTATCCAGGGTTCTTAAGTACAATAATTGCAAATTTTCTATATGTTTGAAACTATACACACACACACACACACACACACACACACACACACATATATAAAATATTCTCCTGAATTTCATATATTATGTATTTATAATTTATATATTAAACATGCATATATTTAAATCAAAGGTGCCATATATTTACTTATAATTTACATATGCATATTAAATATATTAAAACACAAGATAATGAAAATAAATGTGGTATCTAACTTTGGATTTTTACATAAACAATACAGACAATATTATACACAACATATTTAGTAAAATTTAAATAATAAAATGATATTCACAAAAGAAATGAAATTCATCAGCAATTAAAGAGAAAAAAAGATTATCAAGCAATCTTTAAAGGTTATCAGTATAGGTGTTTTTTCTTTATGGAAGTAATTTTGTAAACCAAAATTACCACATTCTTTTTTTAAAAACTGAGGAAAAAAGAAACATAAAAAGTCACCTTTAGCCCCTTAGCGTGTTTCATAAATTTGTGCTTTTCCAACTTACAGCAACAATGTGTCAGAATGCCTAGATGTAACCAGTTTATTACACTACATATTACCATTTACATTGTTATGCTAGGTATTACCATTTCTTTAAATGGATGATTCCCATCAATCTGCAACCTACTTTCAGCCACCTTGTTTTTCCTATATTTACTTTGGATTCTTGCACATATCCACAGATTTAGCAACTTACAACTTTCCTAGTGGTAGATTCCATATTTTGTATTCTTAAATTCTGGAGATTAATAAAAATATTATTCAGTATAAGCAGCCAATCTTCCCTTCTGGAATCTTAATTGTTCTCCCTCCGAAGGTCATTGATTAGTAACAAATAATATGTTATGCCTCCCTTTCCACAGGACTACATATTTTTTTACTGGTTGATGAGAACTCATGTGAGACAAAAACAAAACCTTTCTGAAAACATGTGACCTCTTTTGCTTCCTCTCATATTTAAGTCCTGTCATCATGTCAAAGAATTAAAATTAGATTAAATCAGAGTGATTTACTTCCCTCAGAGCCATGTTGGTTGCTTACCCCGATTTGCTCTGCTTTCTGATGCATATGAAAATTGATTGTCTTTTTTATTTTTTCCTCTATTTTCCTAGATATCAGAGCAAGCTGACTAATCTATAACTTTTAAAGTCATCGCTAGTATGTTCTCTTTCCCTCTGTCTCTCTCCTCCCCCCATTTT